GGGCCGCCGGCACCCTGGGAGCTGCCGACGTTTCCTGCTCCTCCCTGTGGTCGCCAAGGCCTGCCTCCTCTGGAGGGCCTGCCTGTCCCCACCAGCCCCCGCGCCCGTGTCTCCTTCTGCAAGGGTAAAGCGCAGTTCGGGCTGGGCGCGGTGGCTCACGCCTGGCATCCCGGCATTTGGGGCCGCCGAGGCGGGAGGGTTGCTTGAGGCCAGGAGTTGGAGGCTGCAGCGGACAATGATCACACCCCTTCGCTGCAGCCTGGGCGACACAGCGGTGCCCTGTCTCTAGAAGATGGAAAAAAATTCCTGCCCCTCATAGAAAATTTGGGAAATTACCCGTCATCTAGCCCCCGACAGAAAGCGCCGTAGTTAACGCTTGGTATATTCTCATATTTTCTCAATGCACCTTTTTTCCATGCTTTAAAAAAAGTTGAGATTATATTCATGTTGTTTGGTAATCTTTGCCGTTGACTTTGTTGTCATTATTTCACACATTTTGCAGAACATGATTTTTTAAATCCTGACCCGATTTTATTTATCCACTTCCCTGCCTTTACTTTTTTTAGGTTTTCACTTTTTTTTTTGCTACTGGAATCGTTGCTGCTGTAAACATTCTTGTCTATAGTAGACATCTGTTGAGCCCCTTATACGTGTCAGGCCCTCAGCGGTGCTCTGAGGACAGAAAGATGAGTCGAGGTCTGGTGTGTTGGTCTCAGGGAAGTCGGTCTCGTGGCCGAGACCGGGGCAGAGCTCTGTCAGCACTTAGAACATTGTCAGCCCCCAGCCCGGCTGCCAGATGTCTGGGTTTTCTGCTGAGCTTGAATCCGTTCACCTGAGCTAGACCACAACCTCTTGGGGGCCGGGACCCTGTCTGGCCCATCATCTCCCCAGCTTCTGAGGGTAGCCGTCCTGGCTTGTCCCGGAACCTTGAAGGGCTCCGATGAGTGCCAGGAAGCTCACCCCTGGGCTGTACGCAGGCCAGTGACCACGGTGCGGACCATGGGTGAAGGGGACACCGGACGTGAGTGAAGAGCCAGCATTTGTAAAGCAGTCTGCAGTTCTAGGAAAGATGACAGGAGAGGAGGCTGAGGCAGGAGGATGGCTCGAGCCCAGGAGGCCAAGGCTGCGGTGAGCTGGGATTGCGCCGCAGCCCTCCAGCCTGGGCGACGCGACTCGGCCGTCTCAAACGAAAGAAAAGGCAAGACGAGAAGAGGACTCGCTGGGCGTGTGCTACCTGCGAGTGTTTGTGTCGCAGGCTTTTCCGTCGGGCCCCACGCTGGGCCTCTTGTTAGTCACCACTGGGCTCTCCGGCTGGTGGCGCCTCTTGGATCTCACAGCAACGCTGCAAGGGAGGCCGTGTTGAGAAAACAGCTAAACTCATGTAACCATGTGGAGTCGAGGCCAGATTTGGATTCCAAGTGCATGACTATCCGCCCCCCCTTTATTTTCTATTTATTTTTATTCTTTATTTTTTTTTGAGTCGGAGCCTCACTCCATTGCCCAGGCTGGAGTACGGTGGCACACACTCTCACAGCCACCCCAGCATCGGTCTACTGGGCTCAGGCGATCCTTCAGCCTCCGCCTTCCAAGTAGCCGGAACTACAAGTGCACACTGCCACACCTGGCTAATTTTTTGATTTATTGTAGAGACAAGATCTCATCATGTTGCCCAGGCTGGTCTTGAACCCCCAGGCTCAGGCAGTTCTCTCACCTCGGCCCCCTTTATTTTTAACATCACCTGGTGTTAAAACTTTCTCTCTCAAAAGACCCCGTCACATAGAGTTCTCAGAACTTGAGGGCTGAACCCAAGGAGATGGACTAAGGGACCAGGCAGGCGAAAGCACAGGGTTTTGCCACCTCTGAACCCAGTAGCTACTATAAAGAATTCTTTCCTCTGCAAATTAAAAAGTAGGGGAGCATTTTCCTAACGTTTTCATATACACACATATATAGGAGTCTCACTCTGTCAACCAGGCTGGGGTGCAGTGGCACAATCATAGCTCAACACGCTTTTCCATGTGAGTATTTTAGGGCCTGGCGTGGCGGCCCTGTTTTCCCTCTTTCATCTAAGTGCTATTGAGATTTTCAAATTCACCCACATTTTTGTCTTCTGTTTCATCCGTGTATTTGTCTGATTAGAACTGCCTGTTAGGAATGTCTGACCAGTCAGCAGAAGACAAGGAATAGGTTGTGTCGTTGACTGATTCTAGGTAGCTATACCCCTGTACCTTACTTAACTTTTCAGATTTTCTTTTAACTTTGTGTAAACTTTTCATCTACTTGAAATTATTTTGGTATAAGATGAAATGTAAATATTCAACATTTTTTTTCCCTAAATGGTCAGCCCATTTTCTTAGCCCCAGGTGTACTAACTAATTCTTTTAAAAAAAGCATTGTGCTCAGCCTGTAATTCCAGCACTTTGGGAGGCTGAGACGAGTAGATTACCTGAACCTGTGGGTTCGAGACCCACCCGGGGAACTTGGCGAGACCTCGTCTCTACAATAAATCAAAAATTAGCTGGACGTGGTAGCACACGCCTGTAAATTCTGGCTACTCGGAAGACTGAGGCGGAAGGATTGCCGGAGCCCAGCATGTCGAGGCTGCGGTGGCCAGGAGCGGCCACTGCACTCCAGTCTGGGCAACAGAGTGAGACTCCAACTCAAAAAAAAAAAAAAAAAGCATTGTTATTGAGGTATAATTCACATACTATACAATTTGTTCACTTAAAGTATACAATTCAAAAGTTGTAGTTTATTCATAGAGAGAGCATCTTTCCATGTGCTAATTTTTCATTTGTATATCTTCTTTGGAGAAATATATGTATATAGATCCTTTGCCCTTTTAAAAATAGAGTTGTCTTTTTACTACTGCGTTGCAATAGTTCTTTATATATTCTGCATATCAGACCATTACCAGATATATGATTTGCAAATAATTTCTCCCATTCTGTGAGTTGTCTTTTTACTTTCTTACTGACTTCATCTGTTCTTTCATTTTTAGTGGATTGATATAATTTGCAACATAAAATTTTTAAGTTATGATTCAACTTAACTCACCCATTTTTTGGGTCACATGTGCTTTTAGAGTCATATCTGGAAAACCATCGCGTGATCCAAGGTCACAGACATTTATATGTTTTCTAAGAGTTGTATAGTTGTAGCTCTTATATTTAGGTCTATGGTCCATTTCGAGTTATTTGGGTTTTTTTTTTGCATATGATGTAGGGAACGGGTCCAATTTCATTCTTTTGCATGTGGTCATCCAGTCATCCCAACACTGTTCATTTAAAGGCTGTTTCCCTTCCATCGAAGAGTCATGCCATCCTTTTCAAAAATAGGTTGACCGTAAATGTAAGAATTCTATTTCTGGACTCTCACATTTTATTCCATTGATCTATATGACAATCCTTATTGCCAGTACTACACTGCCTTGATTAGTAAACTTAAACTTTGTAATAAGTTTAAAATTGGGAAGTGCAAGTCCTGCAACTTCTTTTTTGAGATTGTTTCAGCTATCCCAGGACTCTTGCATTTCCATACGAATTTTAGGAGCTGCTTGTCAATTTTTGGAAAAAAGCCAACTGGAATTTGGTAGGGATAATGTTGAATCTGTAGACCAACTTAGGTAGGATTACCATCTTAACAAAATATCTAACAATCCATGACATGGGCTATCTTTCCATTTATAGAGATCTTTAATTTCTGTTAGCAATGTTTTTTAGCTTTCAGTGTATAAAGTCTGCACTTTCGTTAAATTTATTCCTAAGTATTGTATTATTTTTTATTTGTTATAAATGGAATTTTCTTAATTTCATTTTAGATTGTTTATTGCTAGTATAGACAACATGAATTGATATTTTATATGGATCTCATTCTGCAAACTTGCTGAACTCATTTATTAGTTTTGATAATTTTTTAGTAGATTAATTCAAATAGTCTGTGTATGAGATCACATTGTCTGTGAATAGAGATAGTTTTACTTCTTCCTTTCCAATCTGGATGCCTTTTACTTATTTGTCTTGCGTTAATGTCCTGGCTAGAACCTGTAGTATAATTTGAATGGAAGTGATGAGAAAGGGTATCTGTGTCTTGTTTATAATAATGGAAAGAAAACATTCTGTCTCCTTTCACTAAGTATGATGTTATGCTGGATTTCTGTAAATGCCATTAATTAGGTTGAGGAAATTCTCTTCATAGATTGTTGAATATTTTTATCATGAATGGGTGTTAGATTTTGTCAAATGCATTTTCTACATCTTTTAAGACTATTATGTTTTTTATCCTAAAGCCCAAATGTCTTTTTCTCTTTTTCTCTCACAACGCATGTGTTAAGGTTTTTTGTTTGTTTGTTTTGTTTTTGTTTTTGCCTGGAGGTCTCAGTCTGTAGCCCAGGCTGCAGTGCAGTGGCACTATCACGGCTTATTGCAGCCTCTACCTTCTGGGCTCAGACAATCCTTCCACCTCAGCCTCCTGAGTAGCTGGGACTACAGGTGCATGCTGCCACTCAGGCTAATTTTTTTTTTTTTTTGTAGAGACGAGGTCTCACTATGTTGCCCAGGCTTTTCTCAAACTCCGGGGCTCAAACCATCCTCCCACCTCAGCCTCCCAAAGTGCTAAGATTACAAGCCTGAGCCACCATGCTCAGCTGAGCATGTTTTTAAAAATATGACTTTGACCTGTTCTTACCAGGAGACAGTCACAGAGTCACTGTGCTTTGATGTGAAATGACTAAGAGAGCATTTATCATTTGTAAAAAATGAATACTTTTCTTAAGAACTCATTTGCCCACCTTCCAGGCAATATTTGTGTTTTGCAACCCCCACCCATTCCTCCAGGCCACTGCCCAGCTTGAAAAGTTCTGAGCTTACTGGAAGTTGGATTTCCTGGGTTTCTATTTCAGCAGCTGTGGATGAGCTGATCTCACTTTTGTAAATCTTACTGTTAGAAACCAAGCGGGTGCCTTAAAGTTACAGTGTTTGCGTCTCTTCTTCCAGGGAGATGACAGTCTATCTGCAGTCACCTTTGACTCTGACTTTGAGACGGTGAGTGTGGTTGGGAGACAGCAGCTTATCCTGGGGCTGGTTATGCCGTCCTTACAGATGCAACTTAGATGTGTAAAAGGGGTCATGCCCCACAAATACTGCATGTACTGCTGGACTGTCAGTCCTAAGTGCTACTTGATGTTACAAAAGCTCAGTCCCTTAGTTAGACTTAAATAAATGTGGTTGCAGTTTTAAATTTTTCATCCAGAAATTAATCCTGAGCAAGGTTCATTTGAGGCAGATTCCTAGTCCCTGTCCTGCATCTGGTTTCGCCCTATGACAGCAGCCTACCCCCATTGCCAACACGTGGAGAGGGAGAGGAGTCAGGGTGATGCAGCTGGAAGTGTCTGGTGGAAGACCCGGGACAGCTGCACTCACGCGGCCTGCCCAGCTGCGGAGGAGAGCGGCTGGAGTGGTCGAGTCCAGCAGCCCGATGGCGTGCTGTGGCCCCCCTAGCCTGGCCTCTTGGTTTGTTTGGTAAGCTGTGCTAGATGGAAAGTGAAGCCTGCTGACACCTCTTGTAGTTGGTGAGCAAAATAAACTTTTCTTATTGCAGACACTAATCTAGCACAGCCAGCCCATCAGCCCCAAGTGAATTCGGCACCAGTCAATCCTGATTCTACTTTCCCTCGGCAGAAGCAAGGGGGAGCCTCATGGGTCATTGTCTCCTTCAAGGAGCCTCTGTCTGCGAAGTTAAGGATTCTCCCTCCACATCCCTGAGGACATGGGCCCAGGAGACTCCCTGGAGGAGAAGTGACCCAAGCCAAGCCCTGCCATGATCCACCCTGCATGGAACATAGAGCACCTTGGGTCTGCCGGAGGGAAGTCAGGGGTTGGCCACAATACCATTACCTTCTCATCCAGTGCAAAGCCCATGAGGAAGCTGATGCTGGAAGGGCTTGCGGGTTGAGCATCCCTAATCCGAAACCTTGAAATCCCGAGTGCTCCAAAATCGGGAACTTTGAGCACTGACATGGGGTTGCAGGCCAGAAATCCACACAAGCTTTGTTTCATGCACAAACTTGTTAAAAAATGTTGTGTAAGATTACCTTCAGGTTATGTGTATAAGGCGCAAATGAAACCTAAGTAAACTGTGTGCTTAGACTTGGGTCCCATCCCCAAGATAGCTCATTATGTGTATGCAAATATTCCGAAATCTGAAAACTGAAACCGTCCGGTCCCAAGCATTTCAGATGAGGGGGACTCGGCCTGCAGTCAGTAATGGAACCAGAGGTCTACCCAGTTGTGCATCTGGCGTCATGGTTGCCACAGGAGACCGTTTTCCAGACAGGGACGTCCTTCACTGGTCTTTGTTACAGTGGGATCTGCAGTTGACTTACTTATAAGGCTGTTCACCTTGCCAACTCCCCTGAGTGAACAGAGGTATGCACCAAGGCTCCAGAGCGGCCATGAGGACAGTGTGGGCAGGAGAACCTGCGCCGTTGGCGGGAGATCTTCAGTATGAATGTTGCCAACCCCAGGCCCGTTGGTTTTCTAGGGTTGGAGCTCCACGGAGTTCTCAGCCTTGCACACTGAACCAAGCGCAGCTTTCTGGGGTCCACGTCCTTGGCCCTGTGAGTCCTCATCTGACCCATCTGAACACGACATGTTCCGTGCTTGGGGCCACTTAGGTAGCAAAGGTCAACATGCTTTCTGTCATTTTTCTTTCAGAAAGCGAAAAGGAAAAGTTTCCACAAACCTCCACCCACATCGCCAAGTAAGTACAACCGGGCTTCCCTTCCCTCTGTTTTCCATGTGTTAACTCTGAAATGTTTCACAATTCTCCCTGTGTACATTCTCTGCTTTGTATAGTCAGGATAGCTGAGACATGACACTTAAGCTGGCTGACCCCATTCGGGCTCTCCTCCGTTTGTATTGGGGTCCTGGGAGCCTGTGCTCCTGGAGTTCCCCCTGTCCCAGAGTCCCAGAACGATGAGCCCTCCAGACTGGGGCTCCTGTGTCCCCGAGCCTTTCTTACAGCCCTTGGAGGCCTTTTGTCTTCTCCTGCTGTCTCAGCTAACTTAGCTCTTAGAATGCTGCCAGAGTTAGAGGATTTTTTAGAGCCAAGATTGATTCTCTGAGATTCAAAGCTGCTCGTGTGGGCCCTGCACTGAGAAGGCATAGACAGTCCAAGACAAGGGAAATGTTTGCTTTTTTTCCCATATTTTCAGGTTGGGATTATCCCAATCTTATTTTGCTGCCAAGATTCTGTTCTTCCTCACCCTCAGCAAGAGGAGAGCAGCTTCGTCCACCTTGCTGGGCAAAGGCCAAAGAGGCAGCTGCCCACCAGGGAGGACGTGGTCCAGATGGGTTCATCCAGATGGCCACAAGGCCCCTCCCCTCCTCTTGTTCGAACTCGGCTCTAGTGCATGGTGACCCACATGCCAGTCTTGGGCTTCCCAGTGTGTGTGGCAACTGACACAGCTGGCTTCCTCGTGCTACCCCCATGCCTGTGGCCTTCCATGGCTCTATCATCTGTAAATGTATATATTTGTTATATACATTTGTCATGTGTTTCAAACATATCAGGTCATGGATACACACACACAGTGTACAAATGAACTTTCATCACAGCCCAGGGAAAACATAACTAGAAAGATAATTCCTGCAAAGAAAAGAGTGTATATATATAGTACAAATAAATATATAAACATTAGAAGGAAATCATCTAGCAATTTGAATTTTTGATGTCCTTCCTGTATTCCCATGGAGAAGATTGAGAATTGATAGAAGGTACAGGTGTTTGTGCTAAACCTTTTCATTTTATAACCATCTTGTTTAAGTACTTTTTCCCTTAAAGGTAACCAAGGTAAATATCTGTCTTTATTATTCCTGCTGAAAGGCAGGCATTTCAAGTGTTGGCCAGATTGCTCCCTTGGCTTTCTGTGTTCTGTCATTTAGGAAAGCTGGCCCAAACCCCTGGCAGGGCAGCTTAGGGAGTGCCCCCTTCCTGTGACCAGCCATACCCATCCCCCTCCCCAGGCTCTCCCAGCCCTCCGAGCTGTCCCCCGACCTCAACTCAAGTCTCGCTTCGCCAGGGTTGCTGGAGCCCTGGCTTCCTTGCCACGCCAGTCCACCTCTGGCCCCTCAAGTCCATGTGACTCACGTTCAGGGCGTGTTCTTCCGTCTGGGCCTCAGGTGCCATGAGAGCGGGGACCACATCTGTCCTGGTTACTCACTGAGTATCCTTGACCACCGTGTCATCTGGGTATGGGTTTGTAGTTGGCAGCACGATCCCAGGTTTCTCGTCCTCCAGCCACTCGGCCAGAAGGGCAAAGCAGGCAGCGACGTTCCTGTCTTCAGAGTCTGTGATCTTCAGGCACCGTCAAGCCCAGCACATTCCTGTCATCCCGTTTTCATCTTGTCCTCTGCCTTCCCAGCTTCTGTGCGTGGCTCCCATGTGTTCCTGAGGAGCCCTCACTCCTCACTGGTAAATCCACATTCGTGTAGGAGGGAAGTGCAGCATGGGGGGCCTTTTTCTGGTCACTGATTTGCTTTCAAAGGACAACCTAAACAAGTGTGTATGGTTTGGAAGGCCCTCAGAATATCTTGGAGGTGGGATGCTATGGTGCTAGGTTGGTGCAAAGGCAGCACAGTTTAATGTCTTTATTCCCTCATTCTATAACAGGAAATTTTCCATAAATTATGAAATCAGGGCAAAAACAATTAGAAATTTAAAAATTTTAAACATAATGAGACTCAAATATTCATAACTTTCTACATATAAATTTTGTTGCAATTTAAGATATATGATTGTTTTGTATCTTAGTGTTTGCATAAATTTACCATAGTTTTCACACTTAAAGAGGTGAAATCCTAGATTACAAAGAATTTGTAAACATTTCTTCATTTTGATGACAAAATCAAGAATGCCCTAGAAGAGTATACTTTTCCTATTCCTTTTATCTTTTACATATTAAGTTCTAAATATTGCTATGTCACCATGTAGCAACATGAAAAACATGTTTACATTGTTAAATATAAAGAATGCACAATTCTGTAATCCCAGCACTTTGGGAGACTGAGGCGAGTGGATTGCCTGAGCCTGCGGCTTCAAGACCCACCTGGGCAACTTGGCGAGACCTCATCTCTACAATAAATCAAAAATTAGTTGGACATGGTAGCACACGCCTGTAGTTCCAGCTACTTGGAAGGCTGAGGCGGAAGGATCGCCGAAGCCTAGCAGGTCGAGGCTGCGGTAGCCGGGAGCGTGCCCCTGCACTCCAGTCTGAGCGACAGAGTGAGACTCCAACTCAAAAAATAAAAGAATGCACAATTATATGTTCATTGTGATTGTGACTATGTGAAAATATATATCTGGGAAAAATGATGGAAAATGAAATATTATAATAAATATTGGTAGAATTATTCATATATTTATTTTAAGTTTCCCATTATATTATTTAGTTAAATGAAAGTTAAGAGAATCCTAAGTGTATATATAAAACAAATGCATTTTTTATTTTTTGCCAGAATGTTTTAACTAGATTCATCATGCCCTTGTGAATGTTTGTTTTACCATTTTTTGTCTTTCTAAGGCACGTATGTTGAACATATATACGTGCATTGACTTTTTAGAGTCACCTTATTACTCCAAGCCGAGAAAAGTGGCATCCTGGAGAGCTCTCAGGACAGCAGGGAGCATGCCTCTGGGCAGTAGAATGTCTTTGACCCCACAGAAGCTGTGGCTGGGAACTTCGAAACAAGGTATGTCCCCTTGGAGGCCCTTCAGTGGGGAAACTGTGGGGAGTGATTTGAGATAGACTTTTTAATATTACTTGTTTGAATTATATTGTCTGTTATCTTCTCAAAGACATTGAGCATATGGATCATAGTTTTACATCACACATAAATGGTTTCGCACAAGTGACGCTGTAACCTCGCCTGGTCTCACGTGGTCTCCGTACTGCGGGCAGTGGTAGGTTGGAGCCAGCTCCACCAATTTGTGAGAGCCAACTGTTCCATTCTTTGGAGTTTTGTGAGCTGGTCAGTGTTACACTGGCAGCTTTAAATTGGACATGGAGGGATATTTACTCGTGGAAATGAGCAGATGCCACAAACCAGGGCTTCATTGATTTACATTTAAGAGCTGGTCATTGGCTGGGCTCAGTGCCTCAGCCTATAATCCCAGCACTTTGGGAAGCTGAGGCAAGTGGATTGCCTGAGCCCGCGGGTTCAAGACCAGCCTGAACAATTTGGCGAGTCCTCGTCGCTACAATAAATAAAAAATTAGCCAGGTGTAATAGCGCATACATGTAATTCCAGCTACTTGGAAAACTGAGGTGGAAGGATTGCCGGAGCCTAGCAGGTCGAGGCTGCTGTGGCTGGGAGCCTGCCACTGCATTCCAATCTGGGTGACAGAGTGAGACTCCATCTCA